GGGTCCGACGTGACGGGCGTGCCTGGGCGCGCCCGGACGCCCCCGTATCTGTTCTATATTTGGGCTGGATATGAGGGGTGCCGGTCAGTTCGGACGTTTGATGCCCGTTTGAGGGGGCCGTCTGAGTCAAAAAATTGTGACCAGACAGTGACCTGGCTGCCCACCCGAACGTATGAGACAGGGTTTGAGGCGCCTGGCTGTAGATTTTCTTAGTCTTTGAGCCTTTGTGTGTATCCATACATTATTACTGCATAGCTACATATAATTGTATCATGAACATGTTCTGCCTTCCCAAACCCACATTGCCAAGTTGGACAAACATAGATGTCGCTTCTTTCGGCGGGGGAACGGGTAGAAGAGATATCATTTGGTGGGATGGGATCGAGTGTGCAGATCGAAATCCAAAGGAGGATTAGGGGTAAAAGATGTCTGTAAGCAGAATATTAGCTTGTCGATGAAATGATGGTGGAAGTTAGATACCCAACAAGGACTATGGCAAGACGTGATCCTTGCGAAATACTTCAAACGTGACACGGTTGCCACGGTCAAAAGTAAGTTCAATGATTCACTCATTTGGAAAGCTATCATGAGTGTGAAAGAACACTATATGGCTGGAAGAGTGGTCCAACTTAGATCTGGTGTGGCAAGGGTGTGGATTCATCCTCTTCTTGGAAATCCTCCTTTGTACACACGTTTTCCCCAACTCTATTGCATTTGTAACCATTCGGATATCACTATGGATAAATGGAATAATGTTGATGTTCTTGAATTGTTTTGGAGACGGTTGCACTCTCCCCTACGTGAGATGTGGGAATATATGTGCAAGTTTATGACAAGTTTACCGTTGGTACAGGGCCAGACCGTATTGGCTGGAAGTTTGGCCCCAAACTCAGGTTTACTACTGAATCGATGTATGAACATCTTGAGAAAAACATTGCAGGGTGTGACTTTAGATGGATCTAGGCAGCGAATATTATTCCTCTAAAAATATTCTTTCTCTGGCAATTATTTCAAGATGTTGTTTTTACTCGTGACATTATGAGTAGGCACAATTGGGCTAGGAACCCAAAGTGCTCCTTCTGCAATGAGAGGAAGACCTCTCAACATCTGTTTTTTATATGCCCCGAGGCCAGGGTAATTTGGCATACGATAGGCTCGGTTCTTGGTACGAGTTGCTGTCCTAACAACCTGTGGCAATACTACTTATGGTGCTATGTTTATCTTCCTGACAGGGTCAAATATTATACCTTATACCTTGCTGCGATCTGCTGGGCAGTTTGGAATAGCCGTAATCGTGCAACATTTGAATTTAAGCTTCCTAAAACACCATTTGAGATTATCTTTTCTGCCTGTGTATTTATGCATTATTGGGCGGGTCTGATGAAAGGTACTGAGCGGGCTGCAATGGAGCGTGGATCAGGGATGCTGAGGGAGAAGGCTTGTAATGTGATGAGGATTCGCACGACGGTTGCAGATGAAGCGACATCCAACTGATTATGGTTATTTCCCGTGGAGCAGGCGTCTTCTCTGGTCATAAACCATCTCTTAGTCTTATGGTGTCGTTATATCGTCTTCGCTCCTATGTGAGCTGCTTCCTGGTTCTTGTTGTTCGCTTGTGAGCTGGTATTTGTCCCTTGGCCTGGTAGGCTTGTTAGTATTTGCTGATAATTGTAGGGTGTCGTTGGGTTTTCGCCCCATAACGGGTGTCTCGTAGGTGAGTTTCCCGTGATGAGTTACCCTGCGATGCTTTGAACTCGCTTCCCCTTTCCCGTTTCCTAACTCTGGACTGGTTGATGTGTTGATGTTGGGGAACGTAGCATGCAATTCAAAAAAATTCTTACGATCACGCAAGATCTATCTAGGAGATGCATAACAATGAGAGGGGTAGAGTGTGTCCACATACCCTCGTAGACCGAAAGCAGAAGCATTAGTTAACGCGGTTGATGTAGTCGAACGTCTTCACGATCCAACCGATCCAAGTACCGAACGCACGGCACCTTCCTGTTCAGCACACATTCAGCTCGATGACGTCCCTCGAACTCTTGATCCAGTAGAGGGTCGAGGGAGAGTTCCTCAGCACGACGGCGTGGTGACGGTGTTGATGATGTGATCTGTGCAGGGCTTCGCCTAAGCACTACAGCGCTACGAAAGGAGAAACAAAATGTGGAAGGGGCACCTCACACGGCTAAGAGAAATCATAGTGTGCCTTTGGGGTGCCCCCTGCCCACGTATATAAAGGAGGAGAGGGGGAGGCTGGACGGCCCCTGTAGTGCGCGCCAAGAGAGAGGAGTCCTATTAGGACTCCAAGTCCTAGTAGGATTCCCTTTGGTGGAAGGGGGAAGAAGGAAGGGAGAGGGAAAGGGGGCCGCACCCCCTCCCCTAGTCCTATTCGGACACCCCATGGGGGGTGAGGGAGTCCTGGGTTAAGGGGTCCTCGGACAGCCGGACTATATACATGGGCCGAACTGTTGGGCTATGAAGATACAAGATAGAAGACTTCGTCCCGTGTCCGGATGGGACTCTCCTTTGCGTGGAAGGCAAGCTTGGCGATTCGGATATGTAGATTCCTTTCTCTGTAACCGACCTTGTGTAACCCTAGCCCCCTCCGGTGTCTATATAAACCGGAGGGTTTAGTCCATAGGACAAGAAGAACAATCACAATCATAGGCTAGCTTCTAGGGTTTTGCCATTACGATCTCGTGGTAGATCAACTCTTGTAATACTCATATTCATCAAGATCAATCAAGCAGGAAGTATGGTATTACCTCCATAGAGAGGGCCCGAACCTGGGTAAACATTGTGTCCCCCGCCTCATGTTACCATCAGCCTAAGACGCACAGTTCGGGACCCCCAACCCGAGATCCGCCGGTTTTGACACCGACATTGGTGCTTTCATTGAGAGTTCCGTTGCGTCGTCACCACAAGGTTTTGATGGCTCCATCAATCATCCACAACAATGCAGTCCAGGGTGAGGTTTTCCTCCCCGGACAGATCTTCGTATTCGGCGGTTTCGTGCTGCGGGCCAACTTGCTTGGCCATCTGGAGCAGATCGACAGCTACGCCCCTGGCCACCAGGTCAGGTTTGGAAGCTTGAACTACACCGCCAACATCCGCGGAGACTTGATCTTCTTCGGATTCGAGCCCATGACAGTCGCACCCTGCCGCCATGATGAACATGACCTAAATTTATCATCGAACCGTGCTCAAGAGATAGCGCCTATAACTGCTCTGGCCCTAGATCCAGAGCAGATTGCGCCATCCGAGGACGGGCGGCTCAACCCCGCCACGGAAACCGCAGACTCAGCGGCGTTAGAGCCGAACACAGATCTGACCTCCAACGAGGCCTGTGTCATCGAAACCTCGGACTCGTCTCCGGCCATAGGTTCCAAACTGCGTGTATCCGCCCCTATCGATCAGGCGCCGATCGTTGAGTTCACCTCCATGGATATCTTCCGTTACTCGCCTTTAGGTGATGTGCTAAACTCATTAAAGCCGAACACCAGCCCGCACTACCTCGCCGAACAAACGGAAACACACCAACTCGGGGATACACACATGACCCGCAGTACAACTTAGAAACAGAGCAGGCAAGACCAGATCGTTCTACGGATCGTGGGGTTGCGCCCCAATGCGCGACAACGGCCATCTTGCCGGATATGAAAAATACAAACCTGTTCGGGCCGAATACCGCAGACTAGCTCCATCCGAGCTGCGTCGCGACGTGGCCCGACATAGAGGCGCCACACACCCCCTATGCTTCACTGATGAAGTAATGGAACATGAATTCCCAGAAGGGTTTAAA